GCAGGAATGAGCAACATCTTTATTTTATGATTATCCATTGCGCTCTGATGTTTACTCAAACGTTGAAATCACAAAGCCCTTTAAAGTACATATTCAGAACAAAAATGGTTAATTGGCTAATAGAGATCAGTTTAACGTGCATATTCCTGAATTGTTAGTTTTGGGGTTTTTTTTTTAGTTAAGCCTGCCTAGGCATGTTAAATCATTCACCTGATTTGTAAAGTTTGAGATACTGTTAATGATATGTTGAGGGAGTACAGTCCGTCATGCAGGCGTTCTAGTAGCAGTCAAGCTTATAGGTGACATGAAAGATGAATTTTATCAGAAATAATGAATTTGCATTGTGGGGACGTGCTAGAAGAACCTGTGATTTAGTACTTGTGAAAAGTTTTGAGAAGGCCAGTTTTATTTACTTACATCTTTTAGTTAAAAATAGAGGTAAAAAATAGGAAAAAAACCAACCCCCAAACCTGGTTCCTTGATGTCGTCAGACACACAATAATTGTTGGTTTCCAAAGCATTTCCCCCAGTTTCCTGTTCTGTGTGCAGCAGCAAAGGCAGCAGGGATGGGGAAGGGTGGACCAGAGATGAGTTTGTTGTGAACATGAGGTAGCAGTTGTCCATGATGGTCCTTGGGATGCTGGTTTCCTCTGGCTTTATTGCTCTGGTTTCTTTTTTTCCTACTCGGTTATTCTGCTCCGTTGCAATGCTCTTTACCTCCATAACTTTCTGATGCACTCAGTAGTGAGGCAACTGCTTGTTAATTTTAGGAATCACTTTAAGATTAAAAAGCCTGTGTCTTTGTGAAATGTATTTTATGAAAATGGTTATTTTTGATCTTTGCGCATAAAACCGTAGCTAGGTGGAGGTAATATCACATATTAGGTCTGTTAGATTAAAGAAGCAACAGTCTTTTCAGGTTTAGGCAATGCCAGTTGGCTTTTTCCAGCTCTAGTAGTCGCTGTAGAAAAAAGCCCACCTCTCCCTGCAACGCTGCTTCTTGGTAGCCTTGGATCACCAGAGCTCCAGACAGTCTTCATTGTCTTTCATGACCCGCTTAAAAATTTCTTTCATTTCACCTAATTTCAGACAGTGAAAGGTGGTTTGTTTTTTTTTTTTTTTTCCCCCTGAAATATTTGTTGGTTTCTCAGTTCCAGTGAGGATTTTGTGAATAACTGATGGTAAGGTTGGCTTGCCCTCCCTCTGTGTTCCTCTTGCTGTGCGCTTTATTCATAGGAGTAATTCTGTTGATTTTAATGAAACTTCCTGTATAAATGGGACGTTCATCAACATATTGATGACACAGACCAAGAGTGTTTTAAAGGAATATCTTCTACTGAAAGCTCGCGTATGTAATTTTTTACCCTACAAATTGGAATCCCATTCTATGTAGTAATGAACTCTGTGTGTCCAGGAAATGTGTACTTATTAATTGTGTATATCTGTGTATATTAGAATATACATTTCAATGAACATATAGAGAGGCTGCACTACACTCGTGCTGGATGTTATTTATTCGTTAATGGAACATTCACTGATTGTAATGCTGAGAGCTGTATAGTTGCACCAAGGAATGATTGGGGATATTTTGATGTCTTTATACCCTTGTCAAACCACTCCGGAATAAGGAATAAATGCATTCAGTTTTTTTGCTTTGCAATCAGTGCTCCTTATTAAATACAGTTCTGTCACCGTAATGAAAGAAAAATTAAGTAAACCTATAAAAGCTTATGGATTTAAGGGAACTAAGAATTGCCCGTTTTAATCTGATAACCTTGTATACTGCATGGTTTTTAGTGTTGTGTGGTTTTACTTCTGTTTCTTCTTTTTATATTGTCTGATATAGATAACAGTCCTGGATGAGACATGGACAGTATTCAGGCGGTACAGTCGTTTTCGAGAAATGCATAGAACTTTAAAATTGAAGTACCCAGAGGTAAGTTTCAGTAAAACTTCTTTTGCAGAAAAGGGTGGAGGTAGAGATGTGAAAATAAGGGTTTTTTTGAAAGGTGTTTATTCAAAACCCAATATTCCTCTCAGCTGTATGCTTCTAGTAAGATTGGCAAGTCCTTCAGCAGTTTAAAGCTCCAAGGCTGCTAGATACAGGATGGATGTTGCAGTGAAACTGTGATGCTGTGTGTTGCCTCTAGCCAATAATTCCCTTTACTGCTGACTGGCGGCATTCCCTGGAGGTTGCTGTTTTGTTCATTGCGAGATACTGGCAGTCAGATCATGTCATCTTGACAACTCCTTATTTAAAAGAAGACCACAGATACCCTTTTGTAATAGTGGCTTCCAGGTTTCTGCAAAATGGAAAATTGATCTTTCTGACCACCTTGGAGACTCTGGGCATTCAGGATATGAGGAGTTGTGCCTGACAGAGCTTTAGTTCATTGGAGTGAGCGTTTACAGAATTACACTTCTTGGTTTCCACATCTGACTTTTAAGTATTAACATTTTGCTTCCTTTGTACTTGTTCCCTTGGATATTAGCAGAAGTAAATCATTCAAGCAATGGAAATGGTCCTGTTTTGAGAGTTAGCACAAGTAAAAAGCCTGGGCCATATATTCATGGGCAATGTATTAAAAAATGTTGTTATGCTTCAGAGAGAGATAGATGCAATAGCGTGCAAATGCTTTCTTGCTCTTCATTGACGTATTCTTTAAGCTAAAAACCAATTGAGCATGGAATGACCTTGAATTTTTAAAGAGTAAAATACGTAGATCTGTGTTTTGTGGAGATTCCGGGGCTTAAGGTCATTCCCATTCCAAAACAGTATGAGAACCAGAAATTGAAACTACCACGCACCAAATATCTAAGGAAAAGTTTTTTTAAAAAAAAGAGGGAAAAGAGAAAAAGAAAATTAGGTCATCTTTTCTGATTGTCAGAAAAATTTTAAAGGTAAAAATGAATTTTGAATGGAAAATTGAAATGTTCTCTTTCCACAAATGCTTTTAAAAAATATTACTTGTGAATGAACATCGGTATCATATTTTTGATTTGAATGAATTGCCATTTCCTCTTGGATGTTAGTCTGTCAACACTAATATCCTAATTGCATCTAACTCTTTTAAAAACAGCTAGGCAGTCATCCAATTGAAATAGAAAAGGGCCAGCTGAATCCCTCTGCAGACCCATCTTCCTCGTTTAGGAAAATGTGTTTGAGTAGGTTTTTTTCAGAGTCTGTTATCGGTCCTGACAATACATTGAGGAGCGATTGAATTTGGCTTTTACAATTATGTCAGAGGGAGATCAGCTTCTTTCTTGTATGTAGTAATCAAATTCAGGAGGAATCTGATGTTCTTAAAGCCGCTATTAAATTGTCCCATGTGCTGCAGCATATTAATGTCACCTTTTTGAATCAAGCATTTGTGATTCACGGTACAAATGCAGGCGTTTTTGGTGTTACAGGAGGGAGTAGTGGGTTTTTTTTGTTTGCTTGTGTTGAAGAACCATGAGAACATAGGAGTGGTATTACTAGGTCAAAATAAAGACCAGCATCCAGGACCATACAAGTGAGAAAAAATTCCAGCCTAGAGCAAAGGTACATAGTTTTCTTCATCTTGGCATCTTCCCGGCTGATGAAGTTGTTTTTGTCATAATTAATAGTTCATGATTACATGATTAGTATATTTCCTGTGGATTTTATCTATGCTTTCCATTCTCTACACTGCTCACTTCATAGGTATCTTAATTTTTTTTTAATTTATTTTTATTTAGCTTCTTCCCTCTGTTCGCGGTCATGCTTGCAAGGTCAATACGTTCTCTAGTTTAATGTGCTGTTTGTTTCTTATTGACATTCTGTGTTGCCATATGTCTATATCTTAGGTAAACTTATTGTGATTCACATCTAGTACATTAACAGAATTATCAGTTTAACTATGCAGATGAATACGTTTCTAATTTTCACATAGGAAACGCATTATAGTAGGTTTTATTAAGTTATCTCTTCCCTTCTCAACAGTATTTGTAAGTTGGGGCAAATAGCAAGTGTTACAAGTTTGACAATGTAACTTTCCCTGAAATATGATACTCTTTGGAGAAGCCTAATAAAGTGTTTTGGCTTCTAATATACTTGAAAGAAATGTTTAGTGGTGTTACTTTCTGAAACAATAGATCTATAGGTTTAGTAGTATCTTCTTCCAGCCTTTGTCGAGCCTCCACTTCACAACAACCTTCAAGAAATTATCAGTGAGGTTCAAGTATACATATCTTTGCTAAGTACAAAGCACATGAAAGCTCAGGAGAAGCGAGGTAGACATTCGATCATGTCATCTACTGCTTTTACATAGCTGCAGTCACTTAAATACTTTTTGTTTTGGAAACCCTTGCAGAAGACTAATGTCCTCTCTATTTTACATAGTAGAGGCTGGTGTGTCGTGTTCAATCCTGCTTTGAGACTTAGGGCACCACAAGGAAATGGCAAGTTTGCGGGCAGAAGAAACCTAGCTAATACGCAGTTGGTTTCTTCTACTTGTCAGCATTTCTGCAAACTGCTGTGTCCTTGTTTATCAGAGGGGAAGAACACCTTGTGATGGATGAAACACATAATACCGTGCGCTGTAGTAAAGATTTGGTGTTTGTTTTCTTTGAAGGCATTTCATTGTCAGTGTTACATATGTGAATGATCGATGGGTTCCCATATTTTTATCTTTATTTAAAATAGCCTGAATTTATGGTAATTTTGGATTAGTTTTGCAACGTGAGCGGGAGTTCAGCTTGTTTGGTAAGTTGAAAATCATCTGTCTGTTTCTGCTTATCTGTCATTGACCTAACTTGGGATTCACCATGATGCTAAAATGCATTTTAATACCAAACTTGGCAAACTTGTGTCCTTAGTTACTGTATGTTATTCCAAAGAAACTTGATCCTTAAAAGCACTGTTATCAGAATCCATCAGAGTTTAATTTTATTTTGCATAGTTCACCTTCCAACTCTAAATTAATATTTATAATGAACAGCGAAAATACTGTGGACGTGTTTAATGTATGAGTGTCCTGCTTTTAGAAGTGAACTTTACAGCTCATTAGTTGCTCAGCTCTGAGTTACTACATCAGTATTTTAATAATTTGCTGATCTTGCATTTCGTGTTGCTGCCACTGAATTCCCAAAGGAATGTATTGGCAAACTGATTTATTAGGAAGGTTTAAAAAAAAGAGTAAAAAAAAGAGTATCTCTTTCAGAAGCAGAAACTATCTAATGTCTTCCAGTCTTACAATATGCCATATATTTTATATACCTGCACGTTTTTTCTAATGTAATTAGGTGGCTCCTGACAACTGCATATCTAATTGAAATGTGTCACATGCAAATTTTGAAAGACCGAAGAGGCTACAGCAGGGTGAGATTGTGCTAGTGGCAGATAAGTACTGAGCATTTAACAGTGCCTATGGTTTTTTAGGTCTGCACGATTGTCATTTGCCCAGCCTCAGCTTTCTTAACGCTGCTAGAAAGGTAATGACTCTCTTACTATTTTTGGAATTGCAATTCAGACCATACTAGGCATTCAGTTGCAGTAGTCTCTGTAGAGAATATGCTTTTTGTTTGTTACCAGTCAGAAACAGGAGCAAATGGGTTCTGCTACTAGAGAAGTGAGAACTTTCAGAGTAAGATTCTCCACTTTTATTCTCCTCCTTCATCTTTTCTTATCGGTTCACAGTTTTGAAATACTACCAGAGTGCTGGTTTCTGCAGAAAACCTTCTCTTCCCGATCTCCGTCTTGCTGTGAGGGAAAACTAATTCTCCCCTCTCTCTTGGTTCAGCAAGTTCAAGCGATGCGCTTTTGTGATGGCCAGTGCTCCCTTCTTCTTAATGCTTTCTTATCTCTTCCCTCTTTCAAAGGAGAGCAGAGGAACAA